GAGACTGGGCCTTGGGGCACGCTTCTTCCCCCACACCACTGACCCCACCAGAAAACAAGAAAACACCATTTGCTGTGTGACCTCTGGGAAGCAGAGGTTGTACTGTGGGAGCGGCGGCTCTGTTCCTGGGCTCCTTCTACCGGCAGCCCTCAGGCTCAGAGGCCACATGCCTCCCGTCTCCCATCTCCATACCTTCTCCTCTCATTATTTAAATGAGAGTATTATGCAAATGTAATGCAAAAATTGAGTTCAACAAATCTGTTCTTATCCACACAGGCGGAGCTAATTTATGGAGCTCAGACTCAGTCTAGTTTCCTTCTTTGGGTAATGCTGTTTTTGAAATCACAGACAAAGTAACAGCAACCCCAAGATTTTCACAGACATTTCCTTTGATGACTCCAAGCTCCCCAGACCTGGTGGAAACTTTGATGACTCCGTGGCTAACGCTGCCATGGGAGTAAAACCCACCAGAAGCCCCCTACACTCCACATGGGGAGAGCTGGGACCCATGCCCTACTGGCTAGAAAGGGGTCCATCCTGAGGGAACTGAGTCAACGAGGATGCCAGGGCTGAGCTGGGCCCTGATGGGCACCTCGGACCTCCTGGGGGAGCATCTGAGCAGGGCTGGGATGAATGAGGAGACACTAGCAAAGAGGATGTTGAGAACAATTCCTGTGGAGAAAATTATGGACTCATTACCGCATTTGAAGTGGCCTGATCTCGAGGAAGCAGGGAGCAGACAGCATCTCTGTGCATCAGGTTTTCCTACTGACAGTGAAGCACCAAGGGGAAGCAAGCCTCATGCTGGGAGGACAAGGCTCTCGGCATTTCCTTGTAGATTTATTTGCTCAGCATGACTGCCCTGTCAAGCCACCCAAGAGACAGAGCTTCCGGCTCAGGGACCATGGTTGACTCAGCACAGGCAGCCTCTGGAGGTGAGAGGGAACCAGGGGATGCCCTTCTGTCCCTGCTGGCCATGAGAGGTGGCAGTGTCCCAAGTGGGGGTACTTTATAAAGAGGTTGCTGGTTTTATTTTTCTCTAAATTATTTTTCGAGGAGCTTTTCCACAAGCCCAGGCCCTGGGTTCACACCATCACCGGGGCAGAAGCCTTATCCCTGCGTTGTCTGACAGGGTCTTTACACCTTCCTCGGTCACTGATGCCGGGTGCTATTGTTCCTGCTCAGCCCATATCTGGACTGAGTCCCGAGCCTCATTCCATGGGCAGTGGCTCTGTCTCCAGGTGGGGCACGTGGAGGCCAAGTCCCAGGGCAGGGCCCACGGTGGGCCTGGTCTTGCTGGCGGTGAGTCCACTGGGCCGGCTGAGAGAGACCAAAATGAGCGGGATCAGGAGCAAGACAGCGGGAGGACGGGCAGGAGCCAGGGTGGCCTCCTCAGGTGGAGATCTTGAGGGCCAGTTCTCACGCCACATCCCTCCACAAATCCGCCCACGGGTCCCGATGGCAACGCTCTCCAGGACCTGCCCTTTCAAACTCCAGGGCCAGCTCCAGATATCACCACACTGACCATCTAAAGGGAGCTCGGTGAGCAGTGAAGAAGTGCCTGTGACCCTGTGGGCTCAGGAGACCCCCATGTGGCTTTCCTGCTCCCTTCGGTAGAGAAGGCTCACGCCTGTGGCTTGGCACCAATCTGTTTCCTGTGTCCCTCCTCACATCCCAGGCCCCTGGCCCTGGACAGAAGAGGTAGAGGCATGTCCTCTTTTCTGCATTGACCCACTTCACAGAGAGGCGCCTCCCCCACCTGCCTGGCCCCACTGCTAACCCGCCAGATGCTGTCCGTGGAGTATGGGGGAATGTGCTTTGCTGCCATTTCTGAACCTGAAGAAGTTTATCTTTCCTCTGAGAGCCCTGATCTAGGTAGGCGAGCTCCTGTATACTTTAGTGCCATTTGCTCAAGCTCTAATTATGGAAGGGACTTTTAGCGAAAAGAGCTTGGTGCTGAGGTGTAATTCTCTGAGCACACTGGACCTGAGAGCAGCCTTGCAGTTACAGGGTTTTCTGGCTCAAAGGAGCAAGTCCTTTCCAGTCGTCTCGGAAGGGAAGAGTCTGTGTCTCGGTGATGGAGGGTGTCTTTGGGGATAAATGAGGTCCCTTTGTGCACGGCCTGCCCAGCAGAGGCCACAGGCCAGAGACATGCAGATCTTGGACACCTTCCCTCTCTGGGGTCAGGACTGGGACCAGAGGAGATGCCAAGGCCAAGACTAAAGGCCCCCAAAGGTCTTCTGGGTGACCCCCCATCCAGGGCTGAAAGTCTCCCTGTAACCCTCTGGGAGGCTCTGCTTGCACCCCCAGGGCCAGGCACAGCCCCACACTCTCCTCCCCACACCAGTTCCTCTGCCACCCTCACGGGGCCCGACCACTCCCTGCAGCTTGGGGACTCCAAAGCGCCCCCTTCCCTGAGTGACGGGAGGGGCCCCTGAGCCAGGGCCCTCCAACAGCTGTCCCGGGGCCTGAAGTCTGTGGAGGGGTCACGTCCTCACTCCTTCCTTTCTGCGTTCCCACTTCTCTGACGGAAGGGGTGGAGACCCTTTCCGGCTCTCCAGGTCTACCTCCCGACAGCCTTGGAGGGGCATCCTCGAGGGAGATTATGAATAGGATGGGGCGCTGCTGTCTTCGTGGAAGCCCAGGCCTCCTCCTCAAAGACCCTATGATCCCGTGTCTGACTTGTAGGTGCCCGTGTCCCCTCCCCACCAGGCTGTGCCCTCCTTGAGGGTAGGGGTCCCCCTCCAGTTCCTTTCTGGGACCCGGAGCTCACTTCAGGACTCAGCACGAAGTAGATGGCCTGAGATAAGCAGACAAGTAGATGGAACTGCTGCCAGGCCCACAGGGATCACGGCCGCCCACGTGCTCCGGGCGTGGGCACACAGGCACTGATGTGACCACAGGCACAGGCACTGATGTGATGGCACGGCACCACCAGGGTCTTTCAGGAGGAGACTCAGAGTGCTGAGCTGCCTGTGGTCAGCCTGGGAGAAGGGGCCTGTCCTCGATGACAGTGGTTCATGTGCACTGGCTGTTTCTGGAGTTAGCAGAAATAAATCCATTCTTTATGTAACAAACAGAGGCTCCCTGCTCTGGCCCAGGCTCGGGCCAGGGCTCTGAGATGCCAGGAGGGTGTAGAGAAGGCAGGTGGCCCTTTGACCCCGCAGTCAAGCAGCACCTGCCCACCCTGGCTGCTGCCACCAGCTGGTTCCAGCGTCTGCTGTTCAGCTAGTGTGTTAGCCAGTGCTCTTCAGTGTCAGCTTCGTGGCAGCCTCTGTCATTGAGAACAGTTTAACACAGGAGAAGGAAGTTGCAGAGGCCCTGCCCCGGTACAGGTCTGCCTTCCCCGGTACAGGTCTGCCTTCCCCGCCAGCGTTACCCAGCGCGGCCGTGGGAACTGCAGGAACCAGGTTCCCGGGAGGACGCAGATGACCAACTTCTGCTGGGGCTTAAATGGACTCCCCGGGGAAGGGCAGCTTTCTAGCACTTCCTTCCTTCTCCTGCAGCCCCAGCTTTCTAGCACTTCCTTCCTTCTCCTGCAGCCTTCTCTTACCTTCCTGGGACAGGGAACGGGTGCTGATGTGCTGAGATGGGGTTTTCTGCCTGTTAGAGTTGCTGGGGAAAACAACTTAATGTTTTAGCAAGGAAACAACATGCTTCATGGCACTAAACTGTGTTTTCAGGGGCTCCAGAAAGGTATCAGTCGTTACAAAATCATCAAGCCAATGCTCAGGACCCACCACTAAGGAATAAGCCAGCAGCTCTCCACAAGGGGGCACAGCTAGCTTTCCTTTTCACCTCCAGAGGCTGAGGCATCTTGCTGGCTTGGGGCAGCCAGGCACCAGCTGGGGGCTGCAGTGCAGGGGCAGGCCTGGGGTCTGATTATCGTGGGAGGAGAAGTACATAGTATATTGGTCCCCCCAGAGTGACACTGAAGAGAAGCCCCAGTCTCTCCCTTGCCCCTCTATTCCCCACCAACCCAGCTGCCCTGGCAGAGGGACAAAGGCCTGGTGATGCCTCTCTCCTGGGGACAGTGAGATGGGCAGAGGGCCCAGTGGGTTTGTCACCACTGGGATCGGACACATGCAGACTCCCAGGTATCCAATAATAAGTATCATGACCAGCAGGGGCTAAGGGGTGTTGGGTGTGTTTTTCTGTCCTTGTGTGTGTGGATTCCAAGGATCTTTCTTAAATTCTGGACACCTGCGGGGCCAGGGCTGTCACTTTCCACTTTTTCTGAGAGCAGAGACATGTGCACTCCTCCCTCCTCTCAGCCCCCCTCCCTTCTTCTTGCTCAGTGCTCCATGCTCCCAGTCCCTTCGGTTCGCCCCTCCTGGAGCTGCTGAAGGGTGGGGAGGCAGCTCTCGGGACAGAGGAGCAGGCAGGGAGGGTGCTTTCCCCTGCAGGCTGTTCTGAGGGGTGGATTCTTCTTGCTACTTCCTGGGAGACTGCATGCCCAAGGGAGCACAGCCATGCCAGCCTCGCGTGACCCGTCTGAAGTCACAGCCAGCTCTGTAACCTGCCCCGTTGTCGTGAGGCTCTGTCCTTGCTTTGCTCCAACCACTCTGAGCCTGCCTGTCCTGCATGGTGCACACAGCAGAGAAGCCAGGCGCAGACGTTCCTCTCGGAGCTCTCAGTGACCGGCGGGGCAGGGCCCTTTAATCACACCATGAAAGACAGCAAGGACGTGAGTCTCCGCTTAGTCATTATCTGGGTCTCTGTGGTCCAGCCGGGGCAGGAGTGGAGGCGGCATGTTCCTTGCTGCGGCCAAGCAAGGCGGCTGGGCCCCAGGTGCTGGCCTGTCAGGTGCTGTGGGGTCTGCCCCGTGCATCCCCTGCAGGGACGCTCCCCAGGCCCCACTGGACCATGGCTAAGGCTGAGCTTTAATTCGTTTGTATACAAGCAGATTTCAGGTGTACTAACTGAACAAGATGCATGCTTTTAAAAATCAAGAGTGGCAACAGAAGAGCAAGGGGCCATGCCCCAAGGCCCGACCTGGACACCTCCCAGTAAGTGACAGTAACGCAGGAGACTTAAGGGTAGGAATTCAATGGACACATCCTTTAGCCAAGATGTGGCATTTCTGTCTGTAATATGAACACATCCTTATATGACAGGAGTTAGTAAACATCCCTGATTCCTCAGGTGGGGACAGTCACATGCTTGCAGGAGGATTTTGCAATGGGGCTGAGCCCAGTGAGGCAATGACCTTGGAAGCTGCTGTTAGTCACCATCTGGGCAGGCAGCTACTACAACGTACTGTGTTACCCCTCAGCTCTGGGGTCCTTTGAGCCCCGCAGGCGTGACCTTGCTGACCCTCTCTGGCACCAGGCTGTGGGTGTTCCAGGCCGTCAGAGCTGCTGGGGGACCCTGGAGACAGAGCAGCTTTCCCAGCTGTGTCATCATAGAGACAAGGAAGCCGAGGCCACTGTCCGCAGCTGGGGGCACAGTCAGGTGAGAATTCTAATTCCTTGAGCTTTTCCCCGCACTCTGGTCCTGAGACAACCCTGCTGACTTGCTGGTGAGGTCCCCCCACCCCGACCACCTCAGTTTTTCTCCCGGCTGTGCTGGTGCCCTGAGACCAGTCGCTGCTGCAGTGAGTCATAAGTGCCTCTGAGCACAAAGTGGACTTCCAAGCACAGTGAAGGGTCACCAGCAACTTTCAGGAAACAGAAAAATTGCTGGGGAATCAGTACCATTCATGCCCTGTGGTTGAGAAGGAGGCTAGGGGCCACCCAAGGGACTGGGGAGACTTGGGGGGTCCAGGCCCAGACAGAGCCTGTTCCCAGCCAAGAACCAGGGGTGGCACCCTTCTCCCCCCTCCCATGGAAACTGCATCCAAAGCAAGAAACTCCATCTGAGACCACACTGAACAAGAAAGGGCCGTTACATTCTATTTCGAAATAGCCCCTGGAGAAAGAAGGGAAGTAAATTGCACAAGTGGGCGTCCATTTCCTTCTACGCGGCCATGGTCACTGTGGTGTTCAGCCAGGCTCCTGGTGATGTGAGGCACATCTCTCAGTTGGCAAAGCAGCCCACACACTCCCTCCATTGCACAGTCACCCAGGGCTGGGAGGAGCACTAGGCCCCTGAGCCCAGCCTCTCCAGGCACAGTGAGAATCATTTAACATCTCTGACCACGTCTCGTCTTCTCTCCAAGATGCACTCTAACAGCAGCACATGACCTGGTCAGATTCACAGTAAACAGTGTCTTCCGAGCTGAAAACAAACAAATCTCACTTGACATTCCACATCAGGACCATCCCTCGCCTCAGCTGGGTGGAGGCTGGACTCCAGACAGCCGTGCCGCTCTGAGGCAGCGAAGGCAGTGGCCAGCCCCTCTCCTGCCTGTGCACTCAGGGAATCTGCCGGTTGTGAACTGGCCTGGCCACAGAGGATGCCTTCCTCGGCTCTGACCATGGTGGAATGCAGGATCTCCTGGGATGGGTATTTCTCATGTCCTGGTAGGTCATGGGGCATGAGCTGCACTGAGCATCGGAAGGCCAGTGGGTTGAAGCCCTGCTCTTGATTTCACACACCTCTTCCAAGACTTTCAAAGTGCTCCTTTCTTTTCTTGTTTTAGTTTTTTGCGGGGACAGGGTCTCAGTATGTTGCCCAAGCCTCAAGCAGTCCACGGCCTCAGTGTCCCGGGTAGCTGGGATTACAGGCTCAGGTCATGTGCTCCAGCTCAAAGCACCCACTTTCTATCCCTGCCATGTTTCCAATGACAAACCAGGCAACTGGAGCAGATTCCGACAGGTGCCAAGCGTGAGCCCCGTGCTGTGCCCCGCCCAGTGGATGGTGCCCCTGGCCCTGAGCCATTTGCCTGCCAGCAGACAAGCACCCAACAGCGTGGGTCAGTTCCGGGGTTCAAAGAGTCCATTTGTGTCCTGGACGTAGCTCCTCCCCAAAGGAGAACTCAAGTCAATTTTTGGGGTGCCAGGAGTTTATTCAGGGGTTGCTCTGTGAGTGGGTGCAGAGAGTGGGGAGGGAGGAAATCCGACCGGCAGAGCACTAAGAGCACATCTCTGCTGAGGGCAGCTGGGCTCCAGCCCCGGGACCCCTGAGGAGCCGTGGGGTCACTCTCACTAGTGTTGTGTGACCGGCAGCGGGGGGAACCTGAGGACTCGTCCACCAGCCTCGCCCTACACTGTTTGAGGCCTCCTCCTGGGATCAACTCCCCAGCATGTCCAGTGCACCTGGCCTGTCCCACTGAGACACCAGCAAGCTCCCTCCTGTGAGGTAGGAGAGGGTGCCTGTGTCTGGGCAGGGACGGGGACAGGGACACTGTCAGCACCTGCTGGCGGATGTACCCATCATGCACCACGGTCCCAGGCCAGCAGAGGTATTTGTCACACATCACGGCCCCAGGCCCGGGCTTGCTAACTACTTCTCTGGTGCGAGGCCGAATGGTGCCCCGTGGGAAGGAAAAATGCCAGGCACACTTTGCCGAGAGCTGGCGCCCCACAACTGTGTGGGTACAGAGTGGGGAGAGAGCAGTACCCGCTCACGAGGGGACCTCTAGGGTTGTCGTGACTGCGTGCAGCTTTTCCTTCCCCGCCCGTTTTAGAGCCTCCCCACACATGAGAACCCACCACCTTCCCTTTCCAATTGCGCCTGTGGGAGGGAGGAAAGGAGGTGCAACATCAGGACCACCTCTCAGAATGGGACACACATGGTGGTCCCTTTGCGGGGTTCTCCCTCACGACTGGCCCATCAGTCGACCCACCGTTGGATTCCTCTGCAGGGGCACCTGGAGACTTGGTGCCGGGGCAGCCATCGTGTGTGCAATGAAGGCAGCACAGGGGCTGGCTCTCGGCTCTCCCTCCTCAGTGGGTGAAAGTCCACGGGGATGGAGTGGGGCTGCGATGGCATAAGCCTCTCGCTGTGTCCTCGCTCTTGAAATCCACACCCACTTGTCACTCAGCAGCTGGGGCTGGGATGGACAGGCCTGGCAGAAAGGCTCAGCATTGGGAGAAATGCGCTCCAGAAGTGCACGGAGACGGAGGGAGAGACGCGCTCAGAGGTGCAGGGAGGCGGAGGGGGAGACACGCTCAGAGATGCAGGGAGGCGGAGGGGGAGACGCACTCAGAGGTGCAGGGAGGCGGAGGGGGAGATGCTCTCAGAGGTGCAGGGAGGCGGAGGGAGAGACGCTCTCAGAGGTGCAGGGAGGCGGAGGGAGAGACACGCTCAGAGGTGCAGTGTCCTCCCAGCGGAAGGGAGAGGATGAGCAGCCACAGAGCACCTACCGATTCCTAGCTCTGTTGAGACGGCCACAACATTTGCAAAGATTTACCTGATCTAATTGCCATCTGGTTTCCAGTTGAGGTGTCGGTAAAGTTCTTTTAGGCAGGTCACTTGGGGCAAAGTGGCTAAGTGGGCACTAAAGTAGTATTAGAACTTTTGTTCTGATTTTTTCGTGCGTTTTTTTGGACAGCACTGATCATTTCATTCATTTATATTTTCAGCAAAGGGCAGCTATTATTCAGCTTGTTCAGTACCCACCTTGTCCCATCTTTTCTGGAGCCAACAACACCTTTCTCTTTAAGGGAGGATCCTCTGAGCCCCGCGCTGGCCTCAACCTGAGAAAGCGCTCTGCTACCCTCTTCAAGGACAATTGGTTCTTGGGAGGGTCTGCCCCACACCAGGCCAGCCATGAACCTTCCTTGGGAATTTCTGAATTAGAACCAACAGCCAAGGCTCATGCATGCCTGGGGTGACCAAGGCCCGTTACAGACCCGGAGCCAGAGGACTGGCTGATTTACAACAGCAACAAAACTGCATCTGCACCAGCAGCTGCAACTGGAGTGACTCCCAGTTAAGTTTATGACAATTCTCAGTCCTGCTCCAAGAGCTGTGTCCCCTCTGTGCAGGCCGAGTAGGTGAGCTGTGTGGGGATGTGGTGGGACTCCCACCCCTGCCTCCTCAAGTCTGTGATGAGGGCCCTCATCTCTGCAATCCTCCAGGGATATGGTATTGCGTTTAGTTTGGTATTTTCAGAGGAAGACGCAGTTCCAGGGCCCTCTGCTTGGCCTTTCTGACCATAACAGCCCTCGCTCTGTGGCCCAGAGAGCTAATGTGAAGATTCTGCCGGTTGCTGAATATGTCAATTCAAGTAATGAATCTGGGAACTGGGGAAATAACCACAGGGTGGACCCAGTGGGCCCCGCTATGCATCAAACCTGAGCCGAAACTCTGCTGACCCCCAGGGCCCCACCCCGACTGTGGACCAGTGACATCTGGGATTTCCAGGAGTTGGGGTCCGTTGAGAGCCAGTGTCCAGTAATGCTTGGAGAGTCTGATCAGTTCCCTTCCACAGTGGAGACAGCAGCCACAGCGTCTTCAGGGAAGGCTGGGAGGAAGATGAAGCCTCTGTGGTTTCACCAGGTGGCAGCGTGGTAGGTGCTTCCTCCAGGGCTCTGGGTCTGTGACCCGGCTGAAGTCTGAGAATTGAGATGCTGTGACTCTCTATTGTGGTGACACGACTCGGACTTTCACCTGTCAGGCTACAGCGTGGAGCACCAGTCGAACTTTCCCTCGTCAGGCCCCCGGCTGGGAGCACCAGTCGGACTTCCGCCCCGTCGGGCCCGCGGCGGGGAGCGCGAGTCGGACTTCCGCCCCGTCGGGCCCGCGGCGGGAAGCGCGAGTCGGACTTCCGCCCCGTCGGGCCCGCGGCGGGGAGCGCGAGTCGGTCTTAACCCCGTCGGGTCCGCGGCGTGGGGCGCGAGTCGGACTTCCGCCCCGTCAGGCCCGTGCGGCGGGGAGCGCGAGTCGGACTTCCGCCTGTCAGGCCCGCGACCTGGGGCACGAATCGGACTTCCACTCCTCAGGCCTAGGGCGTGGGGCACGAGTCGGACTTCCGCCCGTCAGGCCCGCGACCTGGGGCACGAGTCCGACTTCCGCTCCTCAGGCCTAGGGCGTGGGGCACGAGTCGGACTTCCGCTCGTCAGGCCTACTGCGTGGACCTGTGGCCAATACATTGGCCAAAATATTCCTGTTAAAACAGGTGGGGGAATGCCAGCTTTCTGCTGCAAACATCCAGGAACTTCTCCGTGCCTTGAATAATTAAAACATGTGGCGTGCAAGGCCCCGCCGGCCCTGCCCCATTCCCTTTCAACTCCGTCTTCCACAGCTCATGGCTCTCACTCGCCTCCCTCCTCCTGGAACGATTCAGGTGTGCTCCCACTTCAGGCTTCCCTGCTTGGCTCCTCTCCCAGGCCCAGCTGGACTGGCCCTCGCCTGTCTCAGTGTCTGTGCAGGTGACAACCTCTTGGGAGCGCCTTTCCTGGCCATACTTTGAACTTGCTTCCTGCTTTCACATTCTCTACACCTTTTCTGCTTTGCTTTTCTTCAAAGCCCTTAGCATTGCCTTGCACACCACATGTTTTAATTATTTAGTTAATTTAGTTGTTTATTGCCTGTCTCCTGCCTCTAAAATTTTAGTCTGCATTGTGTAGGACATTTCCTGGCACACCCTCATGATTTTTGTGTTATGATTGAATGAATGACGTCAGCAATGCCGTTCTTTCCCTCAATTACTTTGTTTTGAGCTTGTGGCAATCTATAGAAGTTAGTTAATGGGCCTTACAATCTTGACTTGGAGAAAAGGATGCACAAGGTGTCATATGTCAACACAGCCAAACGCCAACACGGCCTCCTCCTTCCCCAGATTACCAGGAAGAAGTCAGAAGAGGCTGCTGCTCCTTGACCCACGTGCTTCCTTGGGAGCTTGAGAAGCTGCTCCCCCTGGTGCTGCCGCGGGTGCTGCTTACCGGGAAACCCGCGGCATCCGAGAGGCTCCGCTGTGCTGGGTCTGTCCTGGGTTCTCCCTGCAGGTCAGATCCGTGTAAGGAATGCTGGCGGGCACTGCAGTCTGGCAGGAGCTCACTGTGGGGAAGGAGAGGCTGGGCTGGATCCCAAGGCTGAGCTGTCAGGCTCTGCAGCCCTCCCAGTGCTCAGTTATCAGGCTCACTACCTCTCAAAGGCCTCTCTTCTCTACGTGGACGTTTGTCTGTCACAGCCGCAAGATTCTGACAATAAACTTGCTCTCCAAATTCCTAAAATAATTGGTTGCTCCAGTTTAGCCAGCTAAGACTTCCTTGGATAATGACATAATCTAGAAAGATATTTAACAAATTCGTTTAAACTGGAAATTATTGACTCTACAGTTGAGTCAGAAAAACCACATTCAATACACATTCGCAATATTCAGCAGCAGCTCAATACACATTGGCAATATTCAACAGCAGCGCTGGGTCCTGAGGCTCCAGGGCAGTGCAGGAGCAGGGATTAGAGGTCTGAGAGGTTTCATGGCACTTCTCAGGGGAATACACGGGTTCTGGGTTCTTCCAAGGAACCTCCCTCCGTGCCAGCCACCACCTGGTCCCTGCTGGGGAAATAGTGGTCCAGGGAGCCCTCAACTGTAGGGAAATTACTGACCCTCCCGATGTCACCGCATCTCCACTGGGTCTTCTTTTATTCATTCTTTCCCCTAGAAAACACCTTCTGACACACTCCTGCTCTGCCTGTCTGTCCCCTGCTGCAGCCAGACAGCACGAAAGAAGTCCAGTGTCTGGACTGTTTGCTGATTTGCAGAACCTGTTCTCTCGCAGTATCTGTTTTCCAATGCAGATTTTCACGGTCCCCTAAAGAAACTTAAAATTCCATTCCCAGAACGACTTCATTTCCTGATACCCAGCCCAAATTCACTTGTGTTTGGAGCCAATGTGGCAACACAGCCACTTGGGTGGGGTGAACATCACAGCCCACAATTCTGCACTTCAGATTTGGGTTTATCTTAGGACTTAGTGCAACTTTGCATTTGGCAGAGGCCTTTCTCTTTTGTAGCCCTTGCCACCAACCTCATCGTGTAATTACTTGTGAAAGTCTGCTTCATGCCTGTGTGCTCAGCAGATGAGAGACCTTGAGGCCTGGGAAGATCCCGCCCTCCCTGGCTCTGTATTCCGAGGTAGTGCATTGCCTAGTGGATGGTTAATTTTAGGTGTCAACTTGACTAAGCTGAGGGAAACCCAGAGAGCTGATACAACATGCTTTGTAAGTATGTCTGAGAGGGAGGATCCAGAAGAGATCAGTACTTGAATCAAGGGACTGAGCAGGGAAAATCCACGCTCCCCAAAGTGCTGAGGGCCCAGATAGAACAAAAAGGCAGAGGAAGGGTCAATTCTTTCCTTATTCTGGATCTGAGACATCCATCTTCTCCTGCCCCCAAACCTCAGAACTCCAGGTTCTCAGGCCTTTGGACTCTGGGACGTACACCAGGAACTTCCCTGGTTCTCCAGCTTGTAGACGGCAGCAGGACTTCTCATCCTCTGCAACCACAGAAGCCAAGTCACATGAAACCCCCCCCCTCACCCCTCTCTCTGTGTACATCCTATGGGTTCTGTTTCTATGGAGAACTCTAATACAACTGGCAAAGACTAGCATTCAGCAAGCGTTTTATTTCTGAATGACTGAGATGTTTGAGTGGCTTCCAAGCTGACATACCTGTGTTTCCATTAAAGCCATTGTTTCGAAGGTCGATGGCAACAAAACGTTGAAACATGGCATAATCCGGGGTTGTTGATTTGAATTGTACCATGATGTGTTTAAATTTGTACTATGATAGGGATTTGTTGCAAGAAGTTAGGAATGCTGGCATCTAAAAGCTGGAAAAGCGTATTTTGTTGGGGAGGCCTGGAGCTCCCATCTCACACACAGGAGGGAAGACACAACTGGAAGCAATCAAGCCGACGAACGAGATGTTGTTCCTGCCAGACGCAGGTCCTTGCCTTGTGTGTGCCTAACCTCACTTCGTTCGACAGCAACGCAGGAGGAAATCACCATTAACAGTGCTCTTCTATGTGCAGAAGCTGAGGCTTGGAAACTGAAAATGACACAGCTGTGAACGGTCTTGCTGACATTGGAGCCAGGAGAGAAAATGCCCTTGGTAAAATCTCCCAACTGAATGGGGAAATGGGAATACACCCTGCAGGGCCCACAGAGACAATGGCTGGAAACGTCACAGTCCTTGAGGGGGAGCTGTGCGGTGGCCGGGCTGTGGCCGTGAAGACACAGTGGTGTGGGAGGCTGGGGGCCGCTGGGGATCTGGCTGGAAGGTTTCCGTTAATAGCTGAAGCTCCAGAGCCTGTCCTGGAAGAGGGAAGCGGGCCTGGTCCTGGGAGGGTTTGTAAACCGGCAAGAGCACGTCAGTGTGGAGCTCTGACGTCAGGACCCTGGATGCCTACAACAGAGATCACACGAATGGGGCAAGAAGACCAAGCCCCCCCATGGTGCAGCTGCTCCACTGTGTGGGGGGAGCTGTGGTGAAACACAGGACTCGCTTAGAAAGATCCCGAGAGAGAATCCACCCGCAGAAAACCTGGAGAGTATTCTGAAACTTCCTACAGGAAATCCAGGAGAAAGAGTCCTATTCTGTGATGGGAGGGGGTACTGGTCAGGGGCTGCGTTGGAAAGGCAGTCATTGGAAAGGATGTACGGATTCTCGCTGGAGGTGCTGAGGCAGCCACAGGAGGTGGTGGGTGGGGGCCTTGGGGATTGGGTGGGGAATCTAGAGCTGGGACCCCTGGATTTGATGGAAGGAGCGTTGCCTTGGGAGGTAAAAGATACAGATTCGAGTCCAGGCCTGTAGCATCCTTCAGTCACCCTTAAGTCCTCTGAGTTTCTGTGTCTGTGAAATGAGCATAACGGTTCCCACCACACAGGGGCAGGGGCAGGGGCAGGGGCAGGACGCTGTGAGATTGTGAGGGCTGGAGTCCCTCATTGCATGGAGTCAGCAGCCGGCTGGGCTGAGGGAGGTGTTTCTGTCCTTTGGTGTCACAGGCTGGCTCTCGTGCATCCTTCCTTCCGCTTCTCCCCACCTGCATCCACACAGAGAATACACGACCTCTATTGAATGCTTGCAAGGGGCCACTGTTCCCAGCATTTCGCCTGTCAACGTCACTTAAGCCTTAAACAGTCTATGATGAGGTTCTGATAGTATCTTCCTTGGCCTGCTAGAAGGCCCAGTGCCAAAGGACGACCGGGCACCCCGGCTCTTGGGATGGTCACAGGCTGTCACCTGGCCAGGGCAGACCCCTTCCTCTCACTGGGCCTTCTGGTGCCCTGAGTCCCTACGGCTTTCTGCCACAGACGTGGGAGGGAATGTGAGCTGCATCCAACAGGCTGCAGGAGGTCCTGACCTCTGAGCACCCAAGACCAGACAGAGGCAGTGCCTCGGCTGCAGTAAAGGCCTAGCGACCCGGGTGGGCATGGGGCACATGTTCCTACTTTGGCATTAGAGGTCATGCCACTGCTTGTCTTTGCCGTTCTACCCAGTGTCCTGGGAGGACTCGCTCCTCACATGGGTCACGTGTCTCCAGTCCATTAATAGCCGGTCGGAAGTGAGTCCTGGTCCATCCCTGTGAGAAGCCAGGGGACTGGTCCCTCATTTCCTCGTAAACTCAGGGCCCCTCATTTCCTCGTGGACTCAGGGCCCCTCGTTTCCTCATGGACTCATGACACCTCATCCTCGTAGACTCAGGGCCCCACACAATGACACGCCTGGCCTTCCTGGACCCATGCACTCACTCCAAAAGAAAGTTTGCTTTGAGCTCACCTGGTGGACGGGATGCCCCTGAACGTCTAACCATCTGTTGACATTTCCACCACCGGAAAGTTCCTCCAGGCAGCGCCCAGCCAGTGCTCCAAAGAGGTGCAGAATCTCTGAGAAATTATGTGGCCCACAGTCATCAGCTAACAACATTTTTAGGACCTTGTTTTAGCCACCAGCTTGGAGAAGGCTGGGGTCCAGAATAAATCAAATCCTCAGAATTGTCAGACGGTAGTGGCTCGGTCAAACCTCGGTCAAAAGACGCTTTGGCCAAAGTCAACAGAGAGCGGCAGGGACTTGCTTTTGCTGGGCCCTCAGCAAGACCACACGGGAGTAAACAATGTTGCCTCCAATTTTCCCGTGAGGTGAGAAATCTTCTTATCCAGATGAGAAGGTGCAGGCCCAGGGCAGGTGTGGGTGGCCAGGCCGGGGATGGAGCCCTCACGCGGCCTCGAGATCAGCACCCAGGCGTCGGCTCTCTCCACGACACGCAGAAACGGCTCCACGCCTGTGCTGGTGTTTTCATAGGAACCCTTGTGTGTTTGTTTCCCCGCTCAGACTTAGGTCAAATGGTCTATTAATTACGGGAGATTTAGTCACTCCTGACACCAGCGTGTGTGGTTCAAGCAGCCCAAGGGGAAGAGACAAGGCCTCCTTTATGCAGACTCCGCAGTCTTCAGAGGACTGGACACAGCCCTGGCCTGCTGCTGTCTGCCGTGTCTTTTGCTCCCTGGGTTTTATTCCTTGGTCTGTACCTTGAATATAATAAGATCCGTTTGCACATTTTGCTCTTAATGCCTGACACCAAAGGAAGAGAAGATAGTAGTTTAAAGCTCCCAACATTTTTCATGTTCTGAGTCTTAGGTCTCCCACATGGTAGAGAATCAACAAATATCAGAGGACCCCAAACCTGGCCCGAGATGAAACAGCTTTGAGGCTTCCAGGGATCCCTCAGAAGGCTGCACCCAGGCCGGCCACATGTGAAAACATGGTGGCTCTTTTCTTCTCTGCTCACTGTGGTTTTATCAGAGCTCTAAAATGGTTTATTCCATGACATGGAGGGGTTCTCTCCTATGTCTCTGCTTGTCCAGTGTGTGACAAGAGTTGAGAAGTGGGGAGACACAGGGGGCACACTGAATGCAGGTGGTCTCACCCGCCTCACTCTGGATATACATCTTGCCTGGCTAGGCTTGGCCTCCTGTGAACTGTGTGCCCCTCTAAATGAAGCATGACCCTTGTTCCCCCACCTAATTGGTGGTTCTCTGCCCCCATGAGCTCAGCCAGCTGCTTCCCTGACACATGCAGGTCCCAGCCTGGAGGAGACGGAGCAACAAGGCCTAGTGGGGATGAACACTGGCTTTCTGGTCCACCTTTGCCTCATGCCAATGCTTCTCTATCCTTTATGACTGAGATCCTGGAGCAGGGAATCACTTAGTCTTAATGACCATAAAGTGGAGAAGGAGCAGGGAGAGGTTGGGACCACTGCTGCAAGCTCTTGGTGTCCCTGACAGAGTGAGAGAGGCGGAACACTCGCCTGGGCTGGGCCTGAGGACGCTGCTTGCTCCTCTGCCTGCCTGGGGCCCAGCGGGGGTCACGGGACCCAGGACTGTCTCTGCGACTCTAGTTGTAAACATCCAGGAGCAGTTGTGACCTGGAAGTCATTCGGAACTCAGCACAGAGGCCTCCAGAAGTCCCTGCCTTCAGCTAAGGACAGGTGCTTGCTCTCCCAGTGGCTGGCACTGTTAAAACAGACTTTTTTTTCTATAGCCAATGTCATAACAAATGAGGAAATACTCAATAACTCCCCCTAAAATGGGGAGAAACGGAAGGGTTTCTGGATTTGTTTTCATCTTTTCTAGTCACATTGGGCTGGGAGGTTCTAGTCAGTGCAAAGAGACGAGGAAAAGAAAAGTACAAATATTGGAAAGAAATCAGTAAAATTACCCTCATTTACAGGTGAAATGAGATGGCAAATCCTAAGGGATCCACAAAAAATCAGCTTGAACCAATAAGTGAATTTTGCGACATCACGGGACACCAAGTCAATATACAAAGATCGTTGTATTTCTATATACTACTGATGACTAATTTAAAATGATGTTAAAAATACTATCTATAATAGTAAAATCAAATACTTAAGGATAAATTTCACTATATATGTGCAAAACCTCTACACCAAAAATTATCTGAGAGATACATCTCTAAATTTTATACCATGTCTACTTCTTCACAAGTTGATCTAATCATTCCATGAAATCTCAATTGGAGTCCCTGTGGACTCTTCCTGTAAATTAACAAGATGATTTAGAAGTTCATAGAGAAGTGAAGGTCTAAGGGCAGCCACAGCCATCTGGGAAGGACCAGCACCATCCGAAGAGTTGGCAAGATTGGTGACGGAGCTGCTGTGTTCATGGCAGATCTTGCAGCAGTAAGGCCATAAAGAAATAGGTCACTGGAATAGAGCAGAGAGTCCAGAAGTAGGCTGACAGGCACTATCCTATGGTTTTCAACACGTGGGCCAAAGCCGCAGGGGGAAAAATGGATCTGAAATAACTGGATATCAGGCCAGGCACAGTAGGGCTCATGCCTGTAGTCCCAGCAGTTCAAGTGGGAGGATTGCTTGGGCCCAAAAGTTTGGGACCAGTGTGGGCAACGTCATAAGACTCTATGTCTTTACACAGAGACATAGGCTGGGCATGGAGGTGCACACGGAGGCAAGAGGATCCCTTGAGCCCGGGAGTTTGAGGCTACAATAAGCCGTGATCGCAGCTTGGGTGACAGAGTGAGATGCTGTCTCTAAAATATAAAATATATAAATAAAAAAAGCTGGATATCCACATGGACAGAAAAAAGAATCTTGACTCCCCCTTCTCATACCTTCGAAACTGAGAGGTTAGGCAAGGGTTTCATAGAGAAGACACAAGCCATAAACTAGAAGATTGATAGACTGGAGTATAACGTATGAGGGCAACGAGAGTGACTTCACGCTGGAGAAAGCTGGCCAGGTAGCCGAGGTCAACATCAGCAGTGAGCCGGGCCGAGACGGCCCCTGACATGGTGGGATGGGAAGCGTCTTGCTCTGCTCTTCCTCCATGAAGCCCACAGCCAGAATCTGGATATGAAAAACCACCTTCATACAAATCCCAACAGACAGACACTCCCCCAAATACCTGAGCCCAACTTCTCAGAACTTTCAAGATCATAGAAAACAGGGAAGGTCTGAGAAACTGTCAGAGCCAAGAGAGGCCTAGGGAGACGTGACGAACAAATGTCACACGGGATCCTGGACAGGATCCTGGCCCAGAAAACGGCCACCTGAGGAACACGGAGGAAACCAAATGAACTGTGGGCTTGAGTTAATGATTATGTAGCAACGTTTGTTCACTAATTCTGGCAAATGTACTGTACTGATGTAAGGCATTAATAATAAGGAAACCGTATGAAGTATATGGGAACCCGGCACTCTCTTTATAACAATTCTGTGAACTCGAAATGACTCTAAAATAAAAACTTCATTTTAAAAAACCAGCCACAGGGGAAGGAGAGAGATTGATAAACTGGACTTCAAGAAAATGAGAAGTCGTTGGGTGAAAATGCACACAGCAGGTACACCTGATGAAAGACTTGCATGAAGAATCTACCAGCAGCTCTGGAAACCCAACAACAAACAGATTCTACCTGATTCTAAAAAACGGACAACAGCCTTGGGCAAACACTTCAAAAGATACACAAACACTGACGAGTTTGAGGAAGCTGCTCAGCCTTGTAGTGATCAGGACGAGTTTGCGAGAAGGTGCTCAGCCTCGTAGTGATCAGGACGAGTTTGAGGAAAGGTGCTCAGCCTCATAGTGATCAGGACGTGGAACTGGAAATATCCGTGGCAGCCCCTGCACGCCCGCCGGGGTGGAGGCGGAAAGGCCGACAACAGGACAGTGAGGCTTATGCTGGGGAACTGGATCCTCATCGCCTCTGGGGGACCTGGAATGTGGCCTCCACTTAGGACAATGGCTTGGAAATGCCTTAAATTCCATGTATTTCTACATCCTAGTGATGCTGCTCACCATGGGGGTAAGCACTCCTGAGCTGGGGATGCCACCGGGTCCTCGGTGCCCGTTCATTTCATGCGACAGGAGACTGAGGTCTAGAGGGAGGCAACAGCCAAGGATGCCCTGGATCCAGCGCCTCACACAAGGCACCGTGGCTGCCTCCTTCTCCGGCCCCCCCATCTTCCCTCCTTCTTCTCCCCCTTGTCCCCCTTGTCCCTCTCCCACCCCTCCTCCTCCTCTCCCTCCTCCTCCTCATCCGTTCTCCTCCTTGTCCCTCTCTTCCTCATCCCCCTCCTTGTCATTCTCCTCCTCCTCCTAGTCCTCCTTCTCCTCCTCCTTATCCCTCTCCTCCCTGTTCTCTTCCTTGTCCTCATTCTCCTCCTTCCCGACTCATTCTCCTTCTTCACCTCCTCGTCCTCCTTCTCCCTCTCTTCCTCCTCATCCTCCTCCTTGTCCTCTTCTTCCTCCTCCTCATCCCTGTCCTCCTCCTCATCCTCCTCCTTGTCCTCTTCTTCCTCCTCCTCATCCCTGTCCTCCTCCTCATCCTCCTCCTTGTCCTCTTCTTCCTCCTCCTCATCCCTCTCCTCCTCCTAATTCTCCTCGTCTCCCTCCCGCTTGTCCTCCTTGTCTTCCTTTTCTTCATCCTCTTCTGTCCCAGTGCTTTCAAACTCTGGCTCTCCAACGACATGGAAGAGTTAAATGGAAGAACGCCAGCTCAGCCAAGCCCCAGAGACTCCTACTTGATATGGGCAGTTTAAAACCACTTTTCCATTAAATTTTTCTGTGACAACTCTTTTCGTGGAGAATGAAAAGACTCTCGTTAAGTGTTGCTGTTCAGAAGTGTTGGCGGTCGTTGCTAACATGAGATCCAACAAGGTAAATGCCAGGAGCCATCTGCAAGGGGTAATATCTCATTCTGCTTTTGCCTAAATGATGCTGCATCCCTTTATCTCTCTGCTGCCGGCCTTCGGTGCTGAGGGCCTCTGCCACCCAGTGACTAGTTAAATCAGCTTGGGGAAGAGCTCTGTTAAGGCTCTGTCCTGCTTAGCAGGGGAAACTTCAGAGTCTCAGCATCCTGGTCATGGAATGCTACGTTAGCTCTTTCCAAAGTTTGAGACTGAGACGGGCAGACCATTTTAAAGACACGCTGCATCTAGCCTCCCATGACAGAACCTCATGGGAAGGGGAAGGGTGGTGAGCAGGGTCGTGGGGATTTTCTATCCTGAGCCTTCCATGTTGGGGCTTCTTGGAGACAGGGGAGGGCCACAGCCTCAGTGACTGGCCATTGGCCAAAATACTCATTAAAATGCCCTTCTCCAGAGCTGGGGCCAGCCCAGGTTGAGGATCTGACCCTCTGAGTCTGCGGGGCCCACCTGCTTCTCCTCAATGGCTCCTGCTGGACAGGGAACAGCCTGGCACCAGGTGAACCATCCCTGACTCTCCTCAGGGAGAGATGAGGGAGGAGGGCGCATGTCTGAGAGACCAAGGTAAGAGCCCACGGCCCTGCGGGTCTTCCAACATTTCCAGCCATAATGGCCACGATCACCACGATCTGGACTGTCTGAAGAAGGTCTTTTCACAGGCTCGGCTTGGCTGGAATCTGACCTGTGAAGCCTTTGGGTCAGTTGCAGGAATTATCAAGCACCTGCCACGCCTGGAAGAGCTGGACTCGGGGGGCACAGGGCCTGCCTGGTGTCAGGTGCTGAGGAAGGGATGATAAATGCACCCCTCTGTTTTGTCCCTTTCTGACAGCCTCTCTGGCCACCCTGTCCGCCTGTGTCTGTCCTACCCAGCCCTTCTCTGATGAGCCGTCCTGGTGCTTTGTCTCTGCTCATGGGCTCGCGGCTGTAAACAGCAGGAGGTTCCATCCCAGGTGAGCTGTGCCATTGTGACCAAAGGTCTCAGGGAGCAGAATAAGTCTGGGTGGGTTGAGCTGGGAGTTTCGAAGCTGCAGGAAGCTGGGATCGCAGCCTCATGGTGTGGAGAGAAGCCTTCTCTCAGCTCCGTGGGGAAGCCCCTTGTCGACTCTAGGCAGGGGGGATCGTTCCACTGCCTCTCCCAGCAGCAGGCTCCCAGGAGGCAGCGCCGTCACGGGGCCCCGCTGGCAGAAGCCTGAAAAGTCCATCAGGGAAACCTCCAAGATAGTGTCTAACACCAGTCCTCGAGGCAGCTGCTGCTCCAGCTGTGCTCACCTGGAGTGGAGGCGCGAATGGCACCCAGTGTGGGAGAGGTCGAGGCAGAGCCTCTGCCCCATCCTAGACCAGCTGCATGAGACAACAGCTCACATCAGCTGCCCAGAGGCATGGCCCCCCTGCCAGGCTTTAGTAGGTCTCTGCTTGCTCTCAAGACCCTCTCTTCCCATCTCAGGGCCCTCCCTTCTGTGACAGGAGGACTAGCAGGTGTGCTCTGAGCCTGGCTGAGGCCCGACCTCCTCCACCTTAACCCTGAGAATCTTCTCCAGCTGCCCTCCCAGCTCCTGACCATACAGGGGCTTTGCTCCCACACCAGCCTCTTTGGGGAAAGTGCAGGGAGGGGCCTGCTTCAGGCTCTGGGACATGTGGCTTGGGCCGTAGCCTGTGTCCAAGGAGAAGAAACCCTGAAGGTGGGTTCCCACCAGGTGTGCACACCCTAATCCACGCCCCTGGGGTACGTTGCCTTCCAAGCAAGAGGCGCTCTGTGGACGGAGTCGGGACAAATGTCTAGAGATTAGGAGGTGCTCGGGCTGGGCCCGTATGAGAGGGAGGCAGCAAGCTCAGAGAGGGCCATGGGACAACAGCAGCTCAGACAGCAGAGGCCGTGTAGCTGTCCTGGGTGCCGAGCAGCTGCAGAGGCCGGCGGAGGCACGGAGCAGGTGTTCTCCTGCAGCCTTCAGTGGGACCAGCCCTGCCAACACCCTGGCTTTGGCCCAGTGAAACTCATTTCGGACTTCTGACCTCCAGCACCACAAGAGAAGAAATCTGTGCTGGTTTAAACCACTAAATTAGTGGTATCTGTTTCAGCAGCAGTGGGAGAGGGCAAATGCTCTCCAGCTTGGCACCCGCAGCCCAGTTCAAAGGAGGCAGGACTTAGTTGTCAATTCACCTCTGGAGGTGGGTTACCAGCAGGTGGGACAAGTGGATGCACAATCCAATGTCAGACGATGGCACTGAGTCGCTGTACCCACCGTGAACACCTGTGTGTGACTCAGATGATGGCATGGAGTCGCTGTGCCCACCATAAACACGTGTGTGTGACTGGGTATCAGACGATGACACTGAGTCGCTGTGCCCACCGTAAACACATGTGTGACTCAGACGATGGCACGGAGTCGCTGTGCCCACCATAAACACGTGTGTGTGACTGGGTATCAGACGATGGCACCGAGTCGCTGTGCCCATTGTAAGCACCTGTGTGTGACTCAGACGATGGCATGGAGTTGCTGTACCCATTGTAAGCACCTGTGTGTGACTGGACCTCAGACGATGGCACCGAGTCGCTGTGTCCACCATAAACATGTGTGTGTGACTCAGACAATGACACCGAGTTGCTGTGCCAATTGTAAGCACCTGTGTGTGACTGGGTCTTAGACAATGGCACCGAGTCGCTGTGCCCACGGTAAACACGTGTATGTGACTGGGTCTCAGACGATGGCACCGAGTCGCTGTGCCCATCGTAAGCACCTGTGTGTGACTGGGTCTCAGACGATGGCACCAAGTCGCTGTGCCCATCGTAAGCACCTGTGCGTGACTGGGTCTCAGACGATGGCACCGAGTCGCTGTGCCGATCGTAAGCACCTGTGCGTGACTGGGTCTCAGACGATGGCACCGAGTCGCTGTGCCCATCGTAAGCACCTGTGGGTCTCAAACGATGGCACGGAGTCGCTGTGCCGATCGTAAGCACCTGTGCGTGACTGGGTCTCAGACGATGGCACCGAGTCGCTGTGCCCATCGTAAGCACCTGTGTGTGACTGGGTCTCCATCTCCCAGGGCTGCCACCTGACCCCAGGCAGCCAGAGCTTTCCTCGCCCAAGGCAGGAAAAGTTCTATGGGAACTTTTCGCCAAGTTCGTGGGAGGCCCAAGGCAGCTGTGGGCACCTGTGTGACCGGCACATCTTGAGGGAAAACATGTCAGCCACGAAGCATCCCCGATGGCAAAGCCCCGTTCCAGGACTTTCAACAACCCAGAGCGTATCTTCTTTCCCACTAGGTATCTAAGTATTAACTGCTCCAGTAGGGACTGTTTTGATAGCAGGAATTACAAGGTTAGATTCATTCGATCAATTGTATCTTTGCCTCTGTGACAGCCACCGCGTGTGGGTCCTGCCTTACAGAGCCGGCTCCTGACCAATACTCCAGATGTGAACTGAGTCTTCCTCTGGACCAAGTGCACACACCTGCGGTGTGAGGCATCCCAGCACCTGCTCAGGAAGGCGGCAGGACCACACCTCCAGGGTTCCGAACACATGCAGATTCTCCTCTGCCCTCCACCCTCGGGGAACGTTTCCTGCACATTTATAGGGTTTGACTACATGATGTTGAGAAGCTATTTTTATCCAGGAAAGGACGTGTGTGGATAAGACTATTCTTAAGCACCACAGTTCTGAATGCAACTGTGCAGAGGTTTACAACCCCCTGTAACAGGCTCTGTCACACTGAAACGAATTTTTAGGCTGAACTCTATAATCTGCGGAAACAAATGCCCATAAAAATGTAGCAAAGAGCACTTGCATCAATGTGCTTAAAATTGGAGTCCAATTAAGAGCTAATGAAATGCTAACAAACCTTGAATTCTCAGGAAGCAAGGAAATGGTGGCGTGGTTTTCCTCTTCAGAGAAGAAGCAGGCTTTCTGGAGAGCATGGACGGTGGGTCCTGCCTGCAAGTGTGCTGCTGGGGCCAGGCATACCCCTGCATCTCTGAGTTTGGGGCAATGGCTGTGCAGGAGAAATGATCCTGGAAGAGCAGGCACAGGTGGGCAGCTCTGAGCAGCACCACAGGGTCCCACCACGACTCTGCAGGCAGAAACCCTCAACTCTCGGTACAAGTGAGCTGACACCGAGCTGTGGGGGCAGGCAGGCTGGGTGTGGCTCTTCCCAATCAAGAACTGGCCGTGATTTAAAAAACAACAGTTTGCTCATCCACTCAATACATCCACATGTTTACTGAGCAGCCCCCATGGGCAGGTGTTATTCCTGCACCACGTAACCATCGACGGCCTTCCTGTAGCTTAGGTTCCAGTGGGGAGCAGACAGCCAATTACCTTGTAAGTAAGATCACTACAGACATGGTGAAGACTGCAAGGCCGGGGAGGAGCCAGAGGCTGGGTGGGGGCGCAGGGGGGCTTTCACTCTCTGGTGGGTCCTCGGGATCAGTCTCGGCAGAGGATGGGAAGGGGGCAGCCGGGTGCAGATCTGGGGAAAGCGCATTCAGCCGCGAATGCCGTGCGTAAAGGCCCAGAGGCGGCAGCTTCCTGGAGAGTGACCACAACCTCTGACTTTGCCAAGGAACTCAAATCAATAACATTTACTCAGAGCCATTTCTTGAGCACTCACTACAAGCTCACACACTTTCTATCCATTTAGAGAATTTGACATAATTCTTCCCTCCTCACCCCCAGCCTCATGGAGTGAGTGCTGTCCGCCCCTTGTGCAGACCAAGAGCCCAGAGTTCTGCGAGTGGATGTGACTGTCCAGCTTTGTCCGGGTGTGCATCTCTGAGAGGGGTCCTGAGCAGGAGGCGGGCCTAGCCGCCAGGGACTGCTCCTGGGTGGGCCGCTCCCCGGGTCCGACTCAGGTTGTTGTACACGTGGGAGCTGACAGGCTCTGCTGCTCAGGGCTCCTCCGTGGAGAGCAGCCGCCATCAGGCACAAGGCAGGGGCTGTGGTTGCTTCACAGATGAGGGAGGCTGGGTCCCTGCCCTCACCAGGCTTACCATCTAGGTACGGAGCAGAGTAATGTAAGGCGAAGTCAGAAAAGAATCATAAGAGAAGAAAGTCCACACCCCAGAAGGATCTGAGGCAGAAGGAAGCTCTTGCCAAACCACCTGAGAGGAGGCCTGGGCACCCTGGGGGGCGGTGCCCCCACTTCAAGGTCCCCCAGAAGGTGCTTGGCTCTCCAGATGACCCCAGCGCTGGGGAGACCCGCTGTGCTTTCCCGGCAACATGGACACCCCAGTGTGGGTGTTTTGGTGCCACGGGGAAGGGTGTTTCTTCCAGCCTGGCTCTCAGGACGGGCTGCTGGCTGGAACCAACCCCATCTCTATCTGAGCCGTCAACCGCCTGAACAGGCATTCTCTATGTCTGACAAGTCTTCCTCCTTCTTTACATCCCAGAAATGGTGAAAATACACAGTTCCTCAGGACGCCCTGAGGGAGGAGCAGCGTGCTGCTGCCGAGGGTGAACACACGTGGTCTCTGAGGGGAGGTGGTGGATCTCCCTGGGCATCCATCATCCTGGGACTGGGGACTGGGTGTCGTGGAAGAAGGTGACACTGGGCAGACACCAAGAGCGGGGGAGCTGCAGGCCGGTATCAGAGCCTGTATCAGAACCCATGTCAGAGCAGAGTGGCCCCCGAGCGGGAGGGAGCCGGAGCTCACTGCTGGAGGAGGACCTGCATGTGAGGACGTGAGTCTGAGGCCTGCAGAGAAGCCAGGTGAGACACTGCTGTGCTTCTCTGGGCCACGGCCCCTCATGGCTGCATCCCGTCACCAGAGCTCCTGTGCCTCACCCACCCATGATCATAGAAGACAGTCTGCATGTCCTCAGCTCTGTCCTCCAACCGGCTGCCCAGGAGGCCTCCCTGGCTGCTCCCCAAACTGCACATGCCCTGAGTCAGCCCTGGGGCCTCATGGACCCTCCTCTGCTCACGCATCCCAGCAGCGCGCAGACTGTCCCTGTCGGCTCCCACTGACATGCTACAGGATCTCAGGGTAGCCCCGCCTGGCAGGTTCAGCAGGGATGGGATTCTGTGTCCTTTTCCTTCTTGCTTCCGACCTTTACCTGAAGCTCTAACACCAAGAGTGTGCCAGACAGAGGCGTCCACAGTGACAGGAGCCTGGGCAAGGGCGGCCATCCCCTGCTGCAGAGACGGACATCAGTGTCCATGGAAACAATGCGGCGCGGGGAGCGGCAGGTCTGGTGTGAAAGATACTCGCACTTGCCGCCTGGGCAAGAGCAGGAACTCGGCAGACAGAGAGCTGGTGGAGCTTTCCACGGAAAACCACAACCTTCGAAGAGCCCGGCCTCCCTCTGACGAGCCGCTTCTTTCCAATCAGATGCACTATTGACGAGGCAGCCTCCACTGCCTGTCTCTCATCAGAGCACCTGGTAATTTATACTTGTGGTTTCCACCTTGATCAATAAACACAATGGAGAAGACACACCGTCGATTTCTACAGGAGGGGCAGAAGCACACAGGCCTGTGTGCAGAGCTTCATTTGGGCTCTTCGGAAGGGAAGTAAACCCAGCAGAGGAAATGTCGGCCCGCTGAAAGGGCAGCAGTTTCCCTTTCCCCGTGGGATTTGTGTTAGCAAGTTTGCAAGTGGAAAATGCATTTGGAACTGCCAGTCCCCTACAGCCCTCACAGGGAGGTGCAATGTTAATCCTGTCACTATTTTAAAACTTGTCTCAGAGTTGGGAGTAACTGAAATCGTTTGGAGCTTAATTTTGCATGAGGACATAGCAAAGCATGACAGAAGGGAAAAAGAAAATGCTGGCAAAGGAGAAACTGCCCTAAGAGGGCAGCCGGATCCTTGGCTGGGTCAGAGCAGATGAGCCGGGACTGAGGACGCAGGGGTGGTGTGGTCTCAGGAGGGACCTGCTGCGGAACCACTAAGGAGGTAGGCTGAGGGGTGGGAGAAAGCCCAGGGCTGTAATCGTAGCCCCTGGAGCCTGATTTAAAAGACTGGAGGAGGCAAAACCTTTTCTAGGTGACATCCACCCAGAGCGTGACCCTGTGGCCTCAGTGTCTGCTGGGCACGGCTCTGCCTACAGCCAGCCCCGCCACCATCCCTTCCCTTCTAGGGGTGTCCGAGTGTGGGGCAGCCAGGCTGCTGTCTGCCCACAGCACAGAGGAGGAACTGAGGACGCAGGGCCCATGCGGGATGGCACGCAGTCAGCCCAGAATTAGGACCTAAGGTTGACCCTACAGGTTCCCACAGCACACACATGCAGCACGTGCATGCACATGTACACAGAGGCACATGCACACACAATCATGCCTAGCCACAGAATCACACCCTCCCACTCACACTCACACCCACACACCCTCCCGCAAGCACATGCACACACACCCACACTCCCACCCACCCTCCCACAGGCACGGTGCACACCCACACTCATGGTCACGCCCTCCCACAGGCACAACCACACCCACACACGCCCACACTCACACCTACACCCACACCCTCCCACAGGCACAAGAGCACACACTCCTTTCCCCCCACACTCCCTGCACACCCATGGGCACCTGTGCTCTCCTGTGGTCTGGATCTGCCCTCTGTGCGCACAGCCTGCGCCTGGCCCCGTGTGAGTGACTCATGTGGATGCTCTGCAGGTGAGACCCAAGGTGGGTGTCCTGGCACTGCCCGGCCTGGCTGTCAGGAAGCTCTGCCAGACAGCCGCCTCCTCCCTGATGCAGGCTTCTTCCCAAGGATGAGCTCACTGATGTGTTTTCCACCAGTATTCAGTGTCCCCAGTCACCCAGGCCTGGGGCTGGACAGTGCCAGGGGCAGATGTGCCATGTGGAGAGGCCACGCAGGGCAGGGGCAGCTTGTCCGCCGGGTGGCACCTAGACAGCTGTGTGGGGCGCAGTGTTCCCACTCTCGTCACCAGCCCTCACTTCCAACTGCCTCTGAGTATTCTGTGGCGGCTGCTCTGGCTGGGGCCTCAGGTGTAGCCTGCTGAAAATCTCATGGTGTCCAGGCCCCATCCCCAACTGGCCCAGGGCAATCCTGATTTCTTACTCACCGGAGGGGCCTCCCCGCCGCCTGCCCAGCCAAGAGCCTTGTAGGAGCCCCTCTCCAGCCTCACACTACCAGCCCCTTCAAATTGCAGCACTCAGGTCCCTAGGAAAGGTGTTTTTTATCAAGTTAACTACTTTTTATACTTATGAAGAAGTTCCATGACATGGAGCAAAGGAGAGTTGATTTTCAGCTGTGATTTCTGCCTGCAGAGCAATGTCTAGTTCCTGCTGTTTTTTTCTGATGGGCGCTGCAGTGACTGGGGGTCCCGCGTGCCGTCGGTGGGGGCTTAGCTGGCCTGGTC